CCCGTGGGGATTCAACCTGCTCTGGACAGGCAGGAGGTCATCACCGTGACAGCCACGGTGAACTGCGGAGACCCCAGGCCACATCCCCTCCCTCCACCTGCCATGCCCACCTCCTCCGGCCCAAGACCCCTGCTTCCCTGTGCTAACAGGGTGCTCTTGGTGCTTCACGTCATAGCCACAGTGGGGACATCGGTGTCTGAGTCAGCCTTCGGGGGAACTTTGGTAGAATGTCCCTCTGTACCCAGGTCAACAACGAGGCTACCTATACTACTCTCATGTCCCCAAATACAGAACGCCGTATTTCAGAAGCAGGGAGAATGAAACCTCTCAGAAAGCAGACAGGCCCCTGATGGCAGAATAGAGGAGGTGAGGTGAGGGGCCTCATTCCAGAAGAGCAGAGCCAGCACAGAGTTAGGGACCCACCGGCTTTCACGCTGCAGGACTCAGTGCACTGCCCTGGGGCAAGGCCGCAGCCACTTTCGAGGTGGTTGGTTTAACTGCCCTGGGTCTCTGGCTTGATGGCACAAGGGCCTCCTGCACCTTCTTCGCGTTCTCCCAGGGATGACGTCCACCTGAATTGCCGACTCGCTCATAATCAAGTGAAGCACACTCAGGAGGCTGCACTTGTGACTGCGCGGGATTAATGGGCTTCTCTCCTCCGCTCAGACACACGAGCTCAGGCTGCAGATTTAGATCCGTGCTCTCCAGGGAGGGGTGTTGCCGGGTCTGTTTAGACGGACAGCCCAGGGTGCAAAGGGACGGTGGAGGCTGTGCTTGCGCTGGGATGGTGTCTCTCTGCTGGAACAGCAGGTGACATCCCGTGTGGATGGAGACAGGGTCGAACTGGACGCAGGCTTGGGTCCTTCTCCTGGGTTTCACTCTTGTCAACAAAGGTTGATTCATGATGCCGCGGGAAATGCGGCAGGACGGAGTGCGGGGTGTGGCCAGGGTGGCAGGGCCAGTGAGGACAGCCAGGGTGTCCGAGTGCCGTCTGCGTCAGTGTGACGCGAGACCAGACCCTGGGGCTGACGGACAGTCCGTGCCTCAGACCAGGGGTGGGCACGGAGGCCGGCCGACCACACCTGGGGCCATACTCCGGCAAACTGGGAGTGCTGGAAGCCGAAGGAACCGACCACGAAGCCACCTGTGCAGACCTCGCCCCGACAGCCAGGGCGCTTCTGGGAACCAGGCCTTTCCCTGTGGACCTGCTCGTCTCGCAAGGCAGGGAGGGTGCCCCTGCTTCCTTCAAGTTGGCAACACCCTCCCCACCCAACAGTCACCCACAAACAGAAACGTCAAAGTCACGCTCTCCTGAGGAATCCTAGTGTGGAGACTCAAAGACACTTATTTCAAAGGGCCCGACGCTTGCTATTAAATCTCCTCAGCCCCCGAGAGAACTCCCTGATCTTTCATTTTAAGAAAAATTCCTTTTGACACAGCAAAGGGCAGATTATGTCAACACACGCGTTACCCACAAAGAACACCAGACTGGCAAGAGCGGTCTTCCCGAGCTCCTCTGCTCCTTGCCGGCCTCCTGCGGAGGTCGGGGAGCACCCTCCCCAAGAGAGCCTGCAATTGGCCGGGCATCTCGAATTAACGTCCCGAAAGGGAAAAGTGCACCTTGCCCTGTTCCCTGAAAGCGGGTGTGTGGTGCTGAGACGAGGAAATGAGGGGGACGTGACCATCGCCGCTCCCGGCCACTCAGGCACGTCCTCCTTCCTGTCCCCCTTGCCCTCCCGCCTTGCCATCACCCGCCACACTGATGAGGGACCACGCAACAGGCCCAAGGGGGACGCCGTGCGACGTGGGCGCCCTGCCTTTACCTTGTTGAAGTCTTCGGAAGTCGCTCTCATCTCCTTCCATGTCTTGTTGAGAAGCTGGATGCAGATGCAGAAGAACTCTTCAAAGGACCGGTCGTGGGTGAAGAACATGGGGTGGAAGTCGTTGCAGGTCTCACTTGCTAGAGGGAAGAGAAGGAGAACGGGGGAATAAGAGGGCAGGACCACGGCGGGTGCCTCAAAGGCACAGTGGGAGACGTCTCTGCCTAAGCAGCAGTGCAGAAAAGGCGTTTGAAAAGGCGACTGAAGGGCAGCCATTCGACTTGGGGTGTGAGGTCACAGCCGCCCCACCCACCCTTTGGCACGTATTCCGACAGGAAAGTCAGCTCCCAGCCCAGCTCAGCACGCCGCCGAAGGCTTTGTGCCATGGCGGCGGGTGCTGGCTGTGAGCCTTGGATCTGCCTCCTCGACCTGAAGACAGCCCTCCGTCACCCCTGGTTCGCTTTTCTTAGCAGAGGGACGGCAGAAGATGGGCTTTCTGGGTGCAAAGTAACTCAACTTTGAAAACACCGTCCAGGTTATCTCTCCAGAGGGCTTCCTCTCCCTGTGTCGAGCCGGCTCGTCAGCCCTGAGATGCCATTAACCACCTGTCCGTTCTCGGGCATAGAGGGCTAGAGGTTCAAGCAACTCTACCGGTTCGAAGGCTGCACCTAGTCCAGTCTTGGGCAGCTGGGCTCTAACCTGGCCACCTAGTTCCGCTCCGCCTTGGCCCATGTCCCTGTCCTTCCCGCCAGCTCGCCGCCCAGCTTACGGCTAGAGCCCTTTCACGTGCAAGACACCGCACTGGAGCTTGACAACGCCCTTGGCTGTGCAGGTCTAGCCGATGAGGGCCAAGCGGAGGCCAAGGAGCCAGACTCTGTGAATCTCCCTGCTCCTCCAAAAAATAACCCCCCAAAACAGTACCGTAAGGGTCCTGTAACGCAAACACATACGCTGTCACATCCAGTGAAAGGAGCCAGCATGGCAGAATTTCAGGCCCTGGAAGTCCAGGAGGGGAGGAGGGGGAAAGCAGAGGCCGGTTTTCCATCAGAGACCTGTTCTCGGGGACGGTCCTGGGGCCCCCATGGGACGGGCACTGACTGCACTGAGTCCTGTGGTGCGGGCTGCGGCGAGAGAGCCCAGGTCGAGCTGAGGAGCAGCAGAGCCACTAGCTGCTGGATACCTGCCTCTCTCTTCAACCTCCTGGAACATGGCGGGTTCCAGACCTCCGGCTGGAGACACAACCAAGTGCTGGGTGTGCAGCTCTCCCCTTCTGAGGGCACACCTGATCTGAGGGCGTGGGACGGCATGTGCAGCTCACCCCTTCTGAGGGCACACCTGATCTGAGGGCGTGGCACAGCGTGTGCAGCTCTCCCCTTCTGAGGGCACACCTGATCTGAGGACGTGGCACAGTGCAGGGGCGCTGGCTCAGCCCATGACAATCGGGAACGAGGCACTTCAACTTGCAGAGCTTCCACTTTAACTTTTTAAAAACTGCTAACAGAATCTCCTCCCCCTCCTCCCAGGCTCTGGAGGGGGTCACAGGGCACAGTTCAGGGGAAAGTGCTCAGGAAAGGCTGAGAGGCCACAATACCGAGGGGGCGACGGCGACAGCGAGGGACATGGCACCAGCGTAGTTTCTGCGATTTCCCCCTAACTCCTCGCCAGGGCTATTCGTGCCTCAGCAACTAGAAGTAGAAACACACAGGCCATTCCCACCTCAGCCGCGTCTCTGGCAGAGAGGCCTGTGTGGGGTTCTGACCCCAGGCAGGCTATTTAAGGGACTTGGAACGCTAAAAGCTCAGGCGGTCACACTCCCTGAGTCTGTTTACTGCTCTGGGAATCCACGGCCCTGCGAGGTCTGTCAGCACCCAGTTAGATGACCGTGTAAAGCATGCGTTACTGTCACGAACACACGTGAGAAAACTTCCAAAAGTTGGTGGAGAAATGGAACGGACCTAAGGGCTTATTTTGGTGCTGAGTCCAGCTGAAGTTGGGCTGGTCATGTGATGCAGTGAAGGGTCCTGTGCCCCGTGAGCTGGGTCCCACCCGGGTTGGAATCCTGGCCCCAGGGGCACGGGAAAACCTTGATGGGTGTCCACGAATGTGCGCCCCAAATCCTAATGGGATGGAGGAGAAGGAACTCCACAGGGACTGCACCCCACTGGGGGGTTCTCATTCTATCTGTCCCCCATCTCTCTCCAGCAATTAAATATATATTTTGACGGGCTGGTTAAGGTAGCTGGATCCCACCTGGCCAACCGCACAGTTGAAATCTTGACCCTTGTGGCTTGAAAAACACACAGGCATGTTTGTGTACATGCCCCAAATCTAGTAGAGAGATGGTGGCGAAGGGACTATGACATGACCACGCCCGTTGGGGATGCTTTCTCTCTGTCCCTGTCTCAGTCTTCAGTGGGCACAGGTACCCTCCAGCAAATTAAAAAAAATCTGTGCGTAGTTTTCCCATAACATGCATTTTTCATAGTCTTTCTGAAGGATTGTGTACTATAGGTTTAGGAGTAGTGGCTCGCAGTTCTGAGTTTTATCACGTTATCAATGTACTCCATAGCTCCTAAAGCCTCTCACGATTGGAGAAAAGGAGGAAGAGGGACCAACAATTAGCATAATGGCTATGTCGCTGGACTCCCACGTAGTCGACCGTGGTTCAAGTCCTGGACCTGGTGGCTTAAACTCACGCCGGGTGTGTGTGCGTGTGTGCCCAAGATCCCAAGAGGAGAATGGAGGAGAAGGGATTGTGGTATGGCCATCCCCCCTGGGGGGTGATTTCTCGCTTTCTGTCTCTGTCTCTCTCTGTCTTTCTGGCCAGCGCACGTGCCCTATAGCGAAAACCTCTCAAAAAAAAGAAAAAGAAAAGAAAAGAAAAGAAAAGGAGGAAGAAAAGAGGGATGCGGTAAACGGCGTTGGGGCCCCGTAGACACCGAGGGGGTAGAGCCGACCCTCACTCCTGACGTTATGTCAGACACTTACGGAAGTGTTCGATCGCCAAGCCCAAGTCCCTGGGCCCAAGTCCCACGTGCCCAGGTAGTCTGTGGGCCAAGCACCCGCCTCAGAGCCTTCCCCACCCGGGCTCTCCGAATCCGCAGTCACAATGGCAGTGCTGTTATTCCGTGTCACAGATGAGAAAGCGCAGAGCAGTGAGGCTGGGAAACTGGCAGGGCCACATCCAGCTCCTGCCTCCAGGAGCTGTCACCCTCTGCAGGAAGCGATGGCCTGTCCCTGTCCTACTCCCTCCAGACTCTGCCTTGGCAGGGAGGAGTGGGCAAACGACCAACCAAGAACAACGTGGCCTTGACACGAGGAGCAAGGACAAGACGTCAGCGCGTTTGGGATTTATGGGTCCTCGTTTAAAGGTATCCCCATATTGGTGGGGGCAAAACTCACAAAATACAACATGGTTTGCCTAGGAGTTCTTGATGGCAGAGAGGTCACAAAGATGCCCAGAGCTACACTGTGTGGGTTCAAATCCTGGCTCTGTCCCCTCCTGGCTGAGTCACCTGACCAACTCATGTCACCTGTTCATGCCTTGGCTTTCTCACCCGTAAACCAGAGACAACGGCAGTACAAACCCCGTCGGGTCACTGTGAGGCTGACGCAGGAGCTCTACAGGAGAGGAAGCTCAACCAGGTGAGCCCCCACAACCCCCCACACGTCTGCCCTTTAGGAGTGGCCCCCACCTCAGGCTACGTTGGTACACAGGGTGGGGTCAGTACCCAGGGATGGCCTATGTCTTAAGAACAGGGTCCTTAGGCTTAAACAAATAATAATAAAAAGGTGAGACTTATTATTGCTTTTTAATAAAAGCAACATTTATTAAAAAAAAAGAATTGAGTTGGCAGGCAATTATTTTATAAATGAAATTTAGGGAGAAGCTCTCAATGAGATAAAAATAGCAAGACATTTTAAAAATCAGATTGTTTTTAACTGCACTATTTTTAACATAATGAGATTCTGCTTTATAAAAAGGAAGCAACTCAATGGCCTTTTAAGTCTGGAATATTAAGATATTTTCAGGGCTGAGGGTATAACGGATCCTATTAATTTGCTGACATCTAATTCATTTATAAGTAGGCCAGCTTTGAAAGTAGCTATAACTTGCACGTATACGTTGTAAAATAAAAATAAGGACGCTGATTCTTACGTAGTGCCTTGCCTGTCAAAGTGGATCTGTCCCCATTTTCCAACCATAAAGTGAGGTAAGAGAGAAGCCACCCGCGGCTCTCGGAGCACGAGGGCCGCTGCAGTGTGACAGGTAAACACCGAAAGGCAAGGACACAGAACGGGCTCCAGGGCTGCCCTGTGGCCGTGACAGGGTCATCCCAGCTCCAAGGGCTCCAGGTACCTCACCCGCAAATGACACGGAGCATAGATTCCCATGGCCCCTGCCACGTCTAAAACCCCGACTATACACACAGGAACACACCTACACGCCCCAGATGATCTCCCCCCAGTGCTCATCAAAAATCACAGGATCTCGAGCTAGCAGGTGGCGTGGTGGCTAAGGTGCTGGACTCCTACATGGCTGACTGTGGTTTGAGCCCCAGACCTGGCAGCATGCTTTCTGACTTTCGTCCTCTTTCTCTGTCTCTCTCTCTGGTGAGTGCACATGTCTACAGCAAATTTTAAAATAATAATAAATGAAATTAAATAAATAATTCTTTTTTAAAAAATCATAGAATCTGGAGGTGCTACCTGCATTAAACTTTGGTTCCTAAACTATTTCCTTTACCGCTGGGATGACTCTGCATTTCATTCAGGGTGTTCGGACTTCAGAATGCTCTCTGGTAGGCTTAGAAATGTCTGATGAGCTTACCCTCCCTTCTATAAGAAACAGTTGTTTTTACAGTCTTTCACCATATCAATACCACCTAATGCGGACAATTACGTAAGAAAATTGCTTGACTAAAGACAGAATGGTAAGATGACAGGTAATACATATCATTTTGGTTTTTGACGGGAGTTTTCTAAAGACAAGTATAATTCTGAGGATGCTCCTGTTCCATGCTTCCTAGGACTTTCTGTAGCCCTTGTTATGCTAAGAGACTGAGGAATTCACTACAGCGACGTGGATTTGGGAGGCGTTAGGCACACTGAGTATTTTTACCATGATATTGTGAACGAT